AAAAAACCTGAACACACAGTCATAAACAGAAAAGCTATGGATTCCTATGACAGAACTGCTTAGAGCCTAAGCCCAAGGTGAGGTCTATCACTGATAGCGGTTATCTGAGGAAGGCTTCCTTGTATCCTCTCCACTGTGCATGTGCAATAACAGTGCCATCAAGCTGATCTTCATTACTGCTCTGGAAGCTGAGCCTTATGAATAAGCACCTCCAGACCCTTTTTCAGAACCAACTGGTGGCATTTCTTTTGAACATTTGAAGGGCAACCTTCAGTCTGTATTGCACTCTGTATTGGTGCCTTGTGCTCTTTAAGATGTAACAAATAAGTGTTGGTGCCTAGCTACATAAGAGGCCACACAGCCTTTGATCGCTAGGAGTATGTCTTGTGACCAAGCCCACTCTAAATTCTAAAAGGTAATGTTAATATTTTTTGACATAAAGGTCACCCTTGCATTTTAGGTTCAAACACTTGCATCTAGTTCATATACATTCCATTGAATGATGGGAAAGTTTCTCTGCAGAATGATGGGAAAGTTTCTCTGTTCATCCTTCAGTATCTGCAGCTTGCAGTTTGATCATTAACAAAACCCTCTGCAAATGACAGTGTCTTCCCACTGAAACCAATCACTGGAGATTTTCATGCCTCATCTGGTAATGGGTACGTGAGCTTCCTCATATCTTCAAATCCTGAAGTTTTAAGGAGCATTGTGACACCAGACTTGCCCCAAAGATAAGGAATGTTGACTTTGTGACACAGATTTAAACTGACCACCTTTTGTCACCTTTATTTTATTTATTTATTTATACTTTAGGATGGAGGAAGCATTGAAAATATTTTAAAAACCTGGAAAAAAAGAAAAAAAAGGAGGAAGCAGTAGGTATAATTTTGATGCATAAACGTCACAGTGGCTGATTTTCAGAACAAAAAAAGTACAAATGTCATTCTCATTGAGAATTAGGGAATTGATCATATAATTAAAAAAAACCTCTCTTAATAATATCCACATTTTAATTTTGTACTGCTTAGTAAAAGTAAATAGTATATACACAAAGTCCTGATAACTTTTCTCTCTGAAACATGAATTCTGTATTTTGTGAAGTTAATTTATATGAACACATGTATTAAACTTAGCCCAGGCTAGCCTAGTCGCAACAGCTCTTGGAAGTTAAGCAGGGTCCACCCTGGTCAGTATTGGATGGGAGACCACCAAGGAATATCAGACCTCTCTCTACTCTGAGGCAGGCAACGGCAAATGACCTCGGAGTGTCTTTTGCCTTGAAAACTCTACAGGTTGCCAATAAATCGACTGTACCTTGATGGCACTAAATTAATAAAGAATCACACCTAACAAAACCCACTTTCCCAGGTTTGACACTAACTGTAAACCGGAAGGTGTGTACATAAAGTAAAAATCATACTAATATACAGTAATTCTAAATTTGTTATTATATTGATGAAAACATTGCAAAAAGACAGCACTCTCTTCTGCTGTCACTAGGATCTAATTTCCCCCCCATCTTTTGAAAGAATCTTACAACCTGGATATTTTCTGCTGAAAATGTATGGTTTGCCATCCTCTTTGAGCACATCTTGTACTCAAGTATTCAGACCACCAGCAGATTGCTCTAACAATGAATTGTATTTTAATCCTTTTCTCTACAGCACTTGCCTACCTTTAAAAAAACGACTCACACAAAATTTGCAAAGAAAGCACAAACTCCTTTGGGAAAGCTCTTCTGTGCAAGTCCCCACTGTAATGAAATATATTTATTTGTACTTTTAGAGTGCATTTCAGCCAAACCAGCACGTGCACAATTCCCATTAATTTCACTGGGGGGAACTTCCCACCCCAGAATTAGAGTCCAAAGCTATTATTCGGTTTATAGCTTCGGAAGCATTAACAGTGATCTGGTTAGCTGTAACAAAGCATTTATCAAAATAAAAATATTAAGAAACACAAACTAGCTGTATTTGTCCGATTAATGATTGGTGCGTGTTGTTTGCATTTATAATAATGAAATAGGCGCTAGCATGTTTCCGCGCACGCGCGCACACACACTTTTTTAAAGAGAGAAGCTGCGGAGTGTGCGGGAAGATAAGGGTCTATTATGTCCTAGTGCCATGGCTCATTGTGGTTTATAGGTTGTCAGGGTAACGCACTCTACCGCCGTCCTCATCCCCTCCCCGCCACGAGACCCTCATGCTGCTCTTTCAGCTGCCACTCCTTTGTTGCCACGGCCGCTGAAGCAGAAAGAGAATGGAAATATTATTTCTGATTGGGCCTTGCCGGGACTTGCTCATTAGCATATGGGGACGGCGTCTGACTGGTAGGACGCGAGCCGATTGGCTGAGGCTGGAGGTGAGGCTGTGGGGTGATCCCGACAGGCCGGTAACTCTCGGACAGGAACTGCAGTCAGCTCCGGGAGGCGGCGCGCGAGTGTTGTGCGCGCGCGTGTCCTCTTTTGCCCCAAGAGTGTCGCGCGCTGATCCTTGTCTTCACACAGCTTCGCATTTCCCTGTCCTTTTTTGTCCTTCGGCTGCTGTTCCAAATGCACGCATGTAGCTTGCCGCTGATGTTACTGAGTTCTGGAGCCCTCCCAGACGCTTTGATGGGAGGCGCATGCGGGGCCAGCGTGTCCACTGAGGCCAGGTTGGTGTGTTCACGCAGGAAAAGCGTGAAAACCCACTGAACGCCCGCCTCCTGGTGCATGATATCACTTTCTGTTTCCTTCCTGCCATAAAAAACAACCCAAAAACACAGTTAGGCCGTGCTCCAGTGGCAAATGCACTCTCTTGCCAGGCAGAAATCGTCTGCTGGGATAACACGAAAGGAAACAAACAAAAGAAGCTCCCAGTCCCACGCATGATTACCCGGAGGCATAAAACATGCTCAGCTGGTTACACTGATGTAGGAATCAGACAAACCTTTTTGCTGGCTGGTTTACATGTTTGGCTTTATACAGAAGGAAGGAGCTGGTACACTCCAAGGAGCCTTGTTTCTCAGAGAAGGCAAAGGAAAGGAAGGAGGCCCAAGTTGGATTGTACAGTGTGGTGTAGTGGTTGGAGTAGGATCTGGGAGACCCAGTTTCGAATCCCCACATGTACCATGGAAGCTTGCTGGGTGACCTTGGGCCAGTCACACACTAGCAACCTAACTTAATTTACAGGGTTGTTGTGAGGATAAAATGCAGGACAGGAGAACAGTGCGTGGTGCTTTTGGACATCATTGTAAATATAAGATTTCCATTTTGACAGTTGGGAATCACTGCTTCAGTCCTATGCATTCTTACAAGAGATGTCTGCAACTGAAGTGAATTGGATAAAGCAAGAATCCAGTAGCACCTTGAAGTCTAACAAAATTTATTCTAGCATGAGTTTCTCCTGAGTCAGAGTTCTCTTCATCTGACTGGGGCTGCTCTGTTAGAACGTTTAATTTTATTTACATGCGGGGAGGCATGGCACAGATAGGGGTGTTTCTACACCTGTACTATTAAAGACAGCCTCTCTTTTTTTGGTCAATGGAAATCTGCAATGAATAAAAATCCCGGCACCTACAATCCATATAAATCAACCAGTTTGGAACCAACTGTCTTTTCAGTTTCTCGCCTGGGGTAGTCGGGGTGGTGGTGGTGGTGGTGGGGAGTAAAGATGGTGAGTTTCGCACTCTCTGACACGGCATCTTTTTCCACACCGGGAGAAACGCAAGTGAAGTGGTGGGTCACTGAGTCTACTGTAAAATCGGCAAGTGGGGACACGCCCCCTTCCCCCGAATAAAGCCTCAGTCCCCTGTTGCTTAATTTCAGCCTCCGTTCCCCGAAGTCGAGAGGCTGCTGACGTCTACTTTTGCCGCAATGGGAAGAGAATGGACTGCAACACTGTGTGAAGAGCGCCATGCAACAGAAAGGTGGTTTCACTTGGTCTTCTTCCTTGGGATCGGAAGCGCTGTTTGATTTCTAAAGCGAGATGCGTGCTTTGACTACTTCCAGGTTGTACGAGGTGGTGGTGGTTCAATCCGTCACTCTGTACGGGCTCAGAGGTACTCTCTTCATTGTTGCCTTCCACGTCCCACGGCTGGAGCTGACACTGGCAGCAGGCTTCTGGGCTGGGTTTGAGTTAGGTGCCGCTGCAAAGCATTTCCCACTCACACACCTACCTTGAGCAAGAGAGCCACCCTAAACGGGTCTGCTCAGTGGAGTTCAGTCCCGGAAAAGTGCGCTGGGGATCGCACGGCAAGGCAACAGAGGGCAAGCCCGGCTGCCGAGGAGGGGGAAAAGCCCCCCCCCTTGCGATTCCGGGCAGGCTTGCCCAGACGCTCAGCTGTTCGGTGTATTTCAGGTAACCGTCGCTGACAGATGCCAGAAACGGTGTGTGTCTCTCCGGTGGCGGCCTTTGGCAGGGACCTGCAACCGGGCGGGTGCCGGTCGCAGTGAGCGGTTTTTTTTCTCCGAGCCGCCCGGCGCTGCGGGTTGGGTGGGTGTGGAACACGCGCAGAACTCCGGCTTCCCAGACGCCAGACCCCGCCGCCGGGCTGCTCTCTCTCTCCACCGGCCCGCTGGCTGCCTTTTGGACCGAAGGGTAAAGCCCCGCCGGGTGTCTGACTGGCGCCCCAGCGTCCTCTCCCGTGACAGCCTGACAGGAACCCACCACCTCGACTCCAGGGCTGCAACGGGAGGCGAAGCCGCAGCCGGGGATGCGAATACCTCCCGACGCTGGCCGGCTGGCACGCTCTCTCCTCGCGGGGTGCGGGGGGGCTGTATTTGACAGCTTCCCCTCCCCCCGCCGCTTTTGGCCCTGGAGGAGCGCGCGCCGCGCCGAGCCCAGCCCTCCCCCGCTGGGTGTCAGGAGAGAGGCGGAGCCGCCTCCCCCTCCTTCGCCATAGCAACCGGTGCTACTTGTGGTCACTCGGAGAGAGCGAGCCGCTGTTCTCCCCTCCCCCCTCCCCCTTCCTTCGCTGCAAGGGGGTGGCCCTTGGAAACACCTTGTTTTAACATACACGCTATAAATACAGCTGCTGGCGCGGGAGCAGGGCTAGAAGCGGCAGCAGGACTCAGGGACACTGACTCACCCACCGAGCTGGCCAGCCGCAGTCCGGAAGCCGGTGCTTGGAGCTCACGGTGAGTGGCTGGCTGAGGCGAGGCGAGGCGAGGCGAGGCGAGGCGGCCTGCCGGCTTTTTCGCCGTTGCTGGTCTGAGAGCCGGCAGCGGAGAAGCGCGTTGGGAGTCAGGCGGTATCGGGGGCTCGCTTGCTCGCCGCGTCAGAGCACTACACGGGGGGGGGTGGGTGGGTGGGGGGTGTTGCATCAGACGCCCCAGCTCCCATTCCCCAGCCCGGTGCATCTGGGGGCCCGGAGGAAGTCGCCTTTGCAGGCGAGGAAACCCCGAGCAGCATCCCTTCGGTCTGTTTCCTCTCGCCTGGGAAGAGGGCTCTGCTGAGAAACTGGCGCCAGGCATGTAAAGGATTCTGGAGACCGGCGGGGAGGGCTGGAGCGAAGAGGTCCGGCGAGTCCAAGGGAGATGGGGTGGGGCTGGGAGACTGGCGGGCGATGCCTCGAGAAGATGGGGAAGGAGCTGGCTTGGCTTCTGAGCTCTCGGGAGGGCAGCGCGGCTGGCAGCTTCCTCCCACATGCACAAGAGCAGGAGAGCGAGGGAGGCACTGAAAAGTTCAGCCCTCTGCTTAAGCGCAGGAACGCGTCCGGTTACCTCGTCTGTACCCGGGGCTGAATCCTGCCTCCTTGACAGCCGCGCGTGCACAGTCGGGATCTGGAGGGGGGGGGGCGGCTGCTATATTCGCCGCTTGGTTTCTCTAAGTGATGGAATAAGGATTGAGGTTAATAAAATTAGTAAAGAAAGTTTGCGGCGGAAAGGAACGCTGGGCGGAGACGGGGTAGCGGCAGCCGTTGAAGGCGCCAGGGGACTTGGGCGAGCCGGTGTTAAATCGCCATCTTTTGTTCTCTTCTGCAGCCACTCGTTGAAAGCAGACACTTTCTGGCTCCGACTCTGCAACTGCGAAGTGGAGGGGAAACCACTGGGAAATACTGCTTAGCTCTTGGAAAGAGATTTGTCGTGGAGGAAAAAGGACACACACACCCCTCTCCAACTTCTCCAGTGCTTGGCACTTGCTTTCCCCGGGCGCATTGATTCTTTTTGAGCCGGCGGTGCTTCCCGGTCTTGGGCGGCACACCCTCCTCTTGCAGCATCCGCCGCCAGTTCGCCTCGCTCTCGTTGCACCCCGCCCAGCCGTCAGCATGATGCAGATCTGCGACTCGTACAGCCAAAAACACTCCCTCTTTAATGCCATGAACCGCTTCATCGGGGCAGTCAACAATATGGACCAGACCGTGATGGTGCCCAGCCTGCTCCGGGATGTGCCTCTCTTGCTAGAGGAGCTGGACTCGGGTGGGGGCTGCGCGGAAAGGGAGGCCCAGCTGACCCCCAACGACGGGACCTATTACTCCCGCAGGGACATGTACAGCCACTATGTGCTGCTCAAATCCATTCGCAACGACATCGAGTGGGGAGTGCTGCAGCAAGCTGCCGAGGAGGCGGCCGGCAGGAAGAAGGATAAGCTGAACGGGGTGCCCGGCTCTGTGGACATTAGCCGGGGGATCCCGGAGGACGGAGAGGTGGAGGAAGATCTCGAGAAGCAGTTTCATTATCACTTAAGCGGACTGCACACGGTGCTCTCCAAACTCACCCGCAAGGCCAACGTGCTCACCAACAGATACAAGCAGGAGATCGGAGCCAACAATTGGGGGCACTGAGCCAGGGAGGAGGAATATGCGGCCTGCCTGCCTTGCTTGCCTGGGTGTGAGAGTCCGGAAGGAGAGAATCAGTTTGGAAAGGGCTAGCAAAGAGTGGTAGCGTGTGCGTGTGTGTGTGTGTGTGAGGGGGGGCAGCCAGAAAGGGGAGGGGGAGAAACATACTGTGTGTTAGTTAAGAGAACTTGAACAAAGGAGGAGGTTATCAGGGGTCACTGGTGAGCATAGGAATGAGTGCAAAATCAATGCCTGTCTGAAAGAGGAACCTGAAGATGAAAAGGTGGGAGGGAGTGACTTTCATGCAAATAATAGCCTATTGGGAGTTTGCTGTTGGCCCCTGTAGACTTTTAGGGAGGCAGGGTGGTGGAGCTCTGTCCCTGTAATAACAAGCATAACCAGGCAGCTCAGTATGAAGTTTCCAGATTCGGAGGGCTCAGAATGATGTACAGTGGCCCAGGCCAGTTACTGAATGAGTATGTTTGTAATCACTGGAAAATTCTTTGTGTGTCTGTGTGAGTGTGATGGCAGTGCTCATGGCAATTGCATCACTTCTTTCCTGTTTTGCACTACTTTTGTAACATTAATATATATGTATATACAGTCTAAAAATTCTCTTCTTTGCATGCTCTTAGAACTGCAGGGTTTTTTTGTTTTTGTTTTTTTTACCAACGCACAAAGATGTACATTCATCAATACTACCTTTGGGGTTTTTTCTTTTACAGGGAGGGTGAACAATTATTGTTCCCCTTAAATAAAAACACACACCTTGCCATATTATGTATGAGCTGGTTAACATGATACTGCAAACAAGCCACTTAACAAACTATTTATATTCTCTTGCAGAGGATAGAACCAGTTCACTAATGTGCATCCTTATTTTCACAGGATAAAGGGTCCCATTGTTGTACATGCATTGAAGACTATTTAAAACTTTTTTATTCAGATGTAGAGTATATTCTAAAATAAATAAGGAATTCTATTGACTAAAATGGACTCAGCTGTTTTTATACTAGGCTGTTACTTGAACTAAATGTTTCTGCAATGCAGGGGCCATAGACACTAGTGGATTGTACAAGCTACAGTCTTTTAAAAATGAGCTAAATCAGACCACTTGCAGGCATTGCATTTGCATGAGGAAGCATCCCCAGAGGGCATCACAGAGTGTTGGGTGTTCTTCTCCCCACCCATGACACATGCAGACATTGCAGGAGGAAGTTTGAGGGAATGAAAGTTCTGTGCACACCGCCCATATATATCCTACCCAGCCTGCTCCTCCTGTTTGATCAAGGAACAGTCTCAGAACATTTATGGGAAATACTCTGCATGCAGATGCGTATCCTGCAGTGGTCAAGAAAAAGCCTGATGTAACCAAGCCCTCTTCAGATCAATGAGAGTTTCCCCCACTGATTTTCACTTGTTTTCAGTGCAGTTTGTCCAGGCATCTCAAGTTGCTTTTTGTATAGTGTATGTGTGTGTATGTGCAGTACAGTATATATTTAATTTATTTAACCCCAGCGAATTGAACATTAGCCCTTAACAATATTTTAGCAAGCCCACAATTTGATCTGAATATACGCTGTGTACAAAGTATGTGGAATGCTCCCTCTAAGCGGTGGAGTCTTGTGAGCCAAAATTCTACTTTGTGAGCTACTGGCATTATTATTATTTTTAATTATTATTTCAATTTTTATCCCGCCCTCCCCGTAGGCTCAGGGCGGCTTACAAGGCACACTGCCGATATAGTACATCCATAAAACATTAAAATATTAATATTAAATAATACATAGTATCAAATATTAAAACATCATATATACAAAGCAGTAATCGGTGCTCACTTCCTAATAGCAAGATGGCGATCTCCTAAAGTCTCATCCTCTTTATCAAAGTGCCCACATCGTGATGACCCTGTCCACAGGCTTGGGGCATAGATGGTACCATAATGATGGTGGCTCCTAGTTGTGAGTGAGCGATTTGGCTACTGCATAAATTAGTTTGCTCTGGAGCCATCCTTCCTGAGCCAAGACAAAAATGTGTGAGCCGGAGGCTAAAAAACTGAGCTAGCTCACACTAACTCACCTTAGAGGGAACACTGGTGTGAATACAGGTCAGTCTCAAATGCAATTATTTAAGAACAAAACTTAAATTATTACTAAATAATAAGATTTAAGTTGCCCAAAGTGGTTGAGCAGTATAGTTTCTTGGTCTTAAAGCCATTTTTGAATTCCCACTTTTTTTTTTTTTGCTAAGCTACATCCAAAGTAAAAACTCTTGCCTTTGTTCTCCCTTCTTACCTGCTACTCGGGGATTAGAAATCCACTGTTGCAGGCAGCCCAGATCAACCAATTTCTTCTGCCAGTTTCATAATCTTTCAAACTCTCTTGAACTCTCTGTTACCTTTTCATGGGAGTAAGCCTCATCCTGGCCAGCAGTTTAGCCTATTGGCAAGGATTATTACCCAACAGCTGCCACTATTGGAGTCTTCTATGGCCTTCCATAAGAAATACAAGTTGTATAGAAGAAAAGCCTGGCCTTGTATGGAGCACGCAGCATTTTAATTACTCTTTTAAAAGCATACAGCCAGTTCTATTCATTATGGGTAGAACCAGGTGTCAGGTGACCATTTAATCTTATCAAGTAAAATGAGTTTATAATTTGCTTAGGCAAATGGCTTCCCACACTGTCTGGCAATGATGGGACACCAAGCAGGGTTCAAAGGTTACACTGTTTCCAAAGCTCTTTGTTTCAAACCATTCCAAAGTATTTAAAATTGGAATTGGCTACATGTTGTGGGTTCTGGGTGGTGGCAAGCAGTTCCTGTGGAACAAGAAAGGGAGGGACTTGAACTTCTGGAAAGACTTGCGTTCCACCCATTTATGGAATAATGGTCGCTGCTGGGGATTCCACTGGCAAGTCCTCAGGACAATCAGTGCTGGACAACTTTGGTTTGTCTGGCAACAAAATAAATAGTATGAGCAAGGAAGAAATAGACAGAGGCTTTCCCATCTTCCTTCCCACACATAAAATCAGCCAGAGACTGGGAAATAGACAGTTCTCACAGCTAAGGCTGGACAACTTGCAAACTCGGTGGTTTACTGTGGAGTTTGGGCCTATTTCAAACTAGGAACTGTCTGGGCCAGGTTAGTATACAGCAATCCAGTTCCTAGGGTCACACCAACACCCACCATGTTTATGTTGTTCTTACTCATTTGATCATATATCTTGCACAAGTGATCTGAAACTGCACATAGGTACAAATGTTTTTGTGACGTCTTTACATTAAGCTGCTTTCTAAGTTTCTCACCTCCTCAGGGCACTAAGCTTCTTACTTCTGGAGTCAATGGAGGATAAAGGAGCCATACATTTACTCCAGCACAGCATATATTGTGGATTTTAGTTTAATAGAGTTTTATCAATTTTTCTAAGACTTTTCTGTGGAAGAGATACATTCTTCTGAAGTGAGTTGTGTGTTCTTTAGAATATGTGATTTGCAAGAGAAATACCTTTATGTATACAGTTTATGAATTATGAAATAGGTGCTAAACCAGCATACAGTTCATCAGCTACTTGTAACTGCTCAAGTACATCTGTGCATTGCTCATTTCATGGGGTGATGACATTCGGGTAGAAGAATACTAATGAGAGATTTAAATGTTGCAAGTTTTGGTTCCTCTGTTCTTTCTCACAAGATATTCAGAATGTTAAAAAAAAAGTTACATATCCAGATTGACTAGATTAGAGAGAGAACAAGCTGCATTTTCTGGATGTCCTGGCTGGGGCTGCTACAATTAAAGCAGAGGAATGCACAGTGATTGAGGAGAGTTAATCCCTGCCCAGAGAAACTGCTGGAGGCTCACATTTCTTTAAGCTCTTCAAAGACAATGAAAACTATGCTACAGCAAGTGAAAATAAAAGGGTTTGTAAGGCATTTCACTGTTTGTTGTTCCCTTGTAAAACATAAGCAGGCAAAAATAAAAAATAGTATATTAATTAAAATAAAGAGAGCAGAATAGGTATTCAGTTTGGTATGCTGTGGCATTACCTAGTTATTTTAAGCACCTAGTATACTTTTAGGGCCAAAGCCCCATTTCTTTAAATACTATGAAGACACTTGGAGATGGTTTTCTTGAATCCCCAAGCACAAATTCACTATCAGAGGTAATTTATGCCTCCAAAGAAATTTATCTCTTTACTTCATTGGTACAATGCCTTTATGCCATGGCATTCAAGTTGGTTGGTAATTCAAAGTAATTGCATGTATGGAGTAGTGAGGGGGGAAATAATTTTGCAAACAGCAATGGAAATAAAAGCAAACAAACAAAAACTGCCAACATGCATTGAGTGTAAAGGCTTATGGATGTTTGGAAATGAGAGGCTTTACTGAGTTATTGCATAGTTTTGCTGTGCTATAGGGACCATATGGAGGTGCCATGACACTGATAATTCATCAATGATCAGCAGGCAGTTCTGAACATTCATGGGAAAATGCAGTCTAGTGACTTTTAAGGTGCTGGCAGGTATGAAAGCACCCCTAGCAATAGGTCTGTTTGTTCTACAAATCCTCATTCTTAGTTGTGGCAAGACAATAGTGCTATTGAAATAAAATACATTGTAAGGAGGGGATTATAACTTAGATGAAATAATGAGCAGCAGGAAAAAATTTTTTTACAACATTCACTAATAATACAGAATACAATGTACATGCATAATTTGTTTTCAGACATCTTAAGATCAGATTTACCGAGTTCCATTCACCACAGCCCTCATAAACACAATTTAATTTGGCTCTTTAAGGCAAACTGGCCTTTTGGGAAAAAATAGTACTGCAGCCAGAAAGGCGTGCTCTGTTCTACAACATATTATTCAACTCTGCAAGGTGAATAAAATGATATTCTCAGACAGATTTGTATACATATCTACCAGCATATTAGACATTTGAATGCGGAGCTTCCAGTGATGATTAGCAAACTTGCAACTGGCTTATGAGTAAACTTGTAACAAACCTTTTCAACATTATGACCAATCAGAGATCTGAAAATCAAAAATTCCAAGGTTTAGGTCAAGGAGAAGCCATAGCATGTGTACAAAGTTACGTTGCAAAATGCCTTACATGTATTTATCAAACTCCCAAGAAGAATATTGGGTAATCTTTCTAGAAGTGCTTTGCCAAACATCTTTTTGAACAGCCTTGCATTGATCTGTTTGCAAATAACCAGCCCATCCAGGGTTCTTATGCAGCCCGTGAGCAACTAGTGCAAGGGAAGGAAAAGGAGGCTGCTGGGGGGGGGGCAGTGGGCAGAGCCACTCAGACTGTGGCTTTAGCATGGCAGAACAACCTCATCTGCAGCAGCCAAGCAGCGTGGGAGTGTCTGCCCAGTGCTGCACTGCTGGCTCTCCAGTCGGCCCATATGGATCTTCCTTTGCAGGGCCCCCCCCCAGCCCATGGGACCTTGCAGTGAGGATACATGAACTTGGAGCTTAGCAACTGCTGTCCTTTATACTGTTTATACCTCGGGTACCTAGCATTACGTTTTATGGCACACATGACCCGGCCGACAAAGTGACATTTATGTCAGATCTGGCCCTTGTAACAAATGAGTTTGACACCACTGAGATAGACAGTAATGGTTTCTTTTGGTGAATGACATTTAAATATTTATTTTCATAGATAGAACGTAGGTAAGTATGTTCAAATCCATCAGGTTTTACCAAGTTCACATGCCGCCCAAAAGTAAATTTGAAAAGCCAAATAATATTAATTAGCATTCTATAATCCATGTGAGATCCCTGTTAGGGAGACTGGTGGTGTTATCCCTCGTACTGTGTACATAAGAGGACATGAAACAGTGGCTGCATTCAGACATCATGATGTAACTCTGTTTTAATGTGATGTCTAAATGTAATTTCTTGGTAAGCGTTAAACTGGGATTCTAAACCACTTTTTTGTTTGTTGTAATATCCAAATATATAGAAATCTCACTTTGTTCAGTAG